GGCCGGCCCAAGGTGAAATATTTTTAAAGTTGTCGCTAACCATGGTGACTTAATGCGGTCATTAGCTAAAATCTCAAAGCATGATATACGTTGAGGATGAAGTTCATCGTTAATAAGTAAATCCGTGTTTTGAATATTCTGCATGAGAGTTTTGATAATTGTGGGCTGTCTTCGTTTTGATCTGAGTAGGCCATCGTTGTTTTCGCCTTGTGAGAAGCTATTGGAAAGACGGGGGGAGTGGATTGTAGTGTGTTCTTGTGCTTGCTTTGTCAGCATCATTTTCAGGCTGTGGTTTTGTTGTGGGGGATAGTTTTAAACCGTCTGTGTCCTTAATGATGTATAGTCTCGTTAAAACTAGATAATCTATGTGCATATCCCCTTTAGGGGTACACATAGCTTCAGTACAGGTAGGGCCCCCCCAATGAGGGTGCTCCTGCCAGTCACCCTCATCAAGATTCCTGATTCTCACCATCTGACGTGGGTGTTCAAGTGAGGGCGCGAGCATCAGTAAACGCATTAAATCGATTTCTCATTTTTAACAACTAAAGACTATTCCCAGTTCTGTTTCCTTCCCCAGGCCAACTCATTTTATGCAGTCCCTGGAGTGAATGAAGCACACCTTGAGGACTCCTTGTCCAGGATACGGAGGCCTCTAAGACTTCTCATCTCCACTGCAGGCGCTGGGGAAGGGCTGTGTGTGGGTTGGGGTGGGGCAAGGGCACACGCGGGAAGTGTCCTTGGCTTTGGGGCTGGATTTTCACGAATTTCCGCACTCAGGAAAAGCCCTGGGGATCTGCAGATGGCAGTGCTGGCCAAGTTCATGGTGGCCATCCTGATTACTTCCTTTGCTCTCCTCTTGAAAGCCTGAACATTTTGGAATTTGGGGGGACTCCTTAGAGAATTTGGTGAAAGCTATGGCTTTTTGTTCGAGAAAAATGCACACACAAAATTTCCACTCAGTTCCACAAGGGTTCAGAGTTCTCTTGAAGCTCATGATAAAGAACTTGTTTAGATGTGAAAAAGGCAAGTGAGGTTTGGGAGGCGTACCTAAGTCTCAAATGTTGCTCCCCTGCAGCCCCTTTGAGTTTCAGACTCTGCTTACTGCACAGCGGTGGGAAGGGCCCGAACTCTGACTTCAGAGACACTCAGCTTTGTATCTCAGCCCCTCTCATGATTAGCTGAGTTAACTTGGGCTGTTTTTTGCTCTGTAAAATGGGTACAATAATTGTCACCTTGTAACACTCACCTCTTTGTTTGCCACCTTTCAGCTTTCTTGGCCTTCTAGTCCCTCAGGTAGTTGAACTCTTTCCTGCCTCAGGGCCTTTGCACATGCTATGCCTTCTTGCTGCTGGGTGGCAGACTGGTATTTGAGAATTGCTGCCTTGCTGGGTTAATTTCAGCAGACAGACTGGACCCACTGAGTTCCTAGGTGGTATGTGTGGGCCTTGCCCAAGCAGCACACCCTCCTCCTCTGTCTTCCTTGGTTTGGACTCAGAGGGTCTGGTTAATGACAGTGTCTGGATAGACCCTGAAACATGGTAGCACCACATGGGGGCGTGCAGCCCAGAGAAGCTGTCCCTGGTCCAAGAGGAGTGAGTGTGAGGATGTTTACTTGGCGGTTGTTTACAGAGGTAGGTGGTCGGTGACCATCTAGGTGTGTGTAATTAGGAAAACGGGTAAGCAAGGCTGGTATTTTACAGGTTCGCAATGAATCAACTGGGTGTTTAAAGGGGGCATCCATTCTGATTGGTCAGTTTCCCTGCTTGTTGTTGGATATTGAGAATATCCTCTCTGCAGGTACATGAACTATGGGGGTTGCACATGTTGAAATACTGTGCAACAGTTGCAAGTGAGTAAAAGACACACGCACATACACTCGTAACTACAGTGTTACCTATCTTTCCAGGATATTCATATATCTACATAGACACATGATAGAGGGTAGAGGAAGAGAAAAAATACGTGTTGGTGAGGTCTGACCTTAGGTGCAATATCTGTTTGACAGTTATCTTTGTTCTGTGCGCTCACGCTGAGCTGCTTTCCTAAGCTTACATGTCATTGGGAAGATCACTGTTATGGGTTGAATTCTGTCCCCCCCCACCCCCTCAAAAAAAGATTATTGAAGTCCTAAGCCCCCTGGTCCTCCACATGTGACCTTGTTTGGAGATAGGATACAGTTAGGTAAGATGTGGTCATACTGGAGTAGGGTGGGCCCCTATGACTGGTGTCCTTACAAGAACATTTCCGTGTGAAGATGGAGAGCACTCTGTGAAGAGGGTGGCAGAGACTGGAGCGACGCAACTGCAAACCACCTAAAGAGGTGGTTAGAGAGAGGCAAAGAACTCCCCTACAGGTTTCAGAGGGAGCATGGCCCTGCTGACGTCTCCATTTTGGACCTCTAACCTCCAGAACGGTGACACAATAAATTTTGGTTGTGTTAAGCCACCCAGTTTGTGGTACTTGGTTACAGCAGCCCTAGGAACTTAATAACAGTCACTTTAATAACCTCTCAACTTGTTTCCTTATTTATAAAATAATAGTGATAAGAATATTGACCCTCAGGTGAGTGTCAAGGGGATTCAACATGATGACAAATGGAAAGTGCCCGAAACACAGCTGGTGCCCCAGGTTCTATGCTTTCCATCCATCCCCACTGATTAAGAACAGCAGCAGCACGGGGTGTGGACGGATCACACCAAATCCTCCGTAGATATAGGGAACCCAGTGCATACAGTACGGGACTTTGAACACAGACTCTGGTTTAAATCCCTGTGATACAACCTACTGGCAGTGTGACCTTGAGCAGGTTAATTCACCTCTCTGAGCCTTTGTTTACTTATCTGCCAAGAAGTAATCATCCTCATAAGGTGTTCATATGCTGCCCTGTTGATTTAAGGCACATGATGTGATTAGCATAGTGCCTGGCTTACGGTTAAGTACTCAATGTTATTTGTTACTAACATTGGGCCATTACTGTACATGAAGTGTTGGTATTGAGTGTTAGATGTTGGGGGGACTAAATATATGGTGTGCACATTACATATAGTCATCGTATAGTTTTCTCAACTCTGACGTAGGTAACACTGCTATTACACAGCTATTGTGGGAAGCACGTCAACTATTCTGGGTGAAGTCCTTATGTCCTCTAATTGCAGTGATCTTATTTACTTGCTTGTGTCTTTTCCCCTCTCCCACCTCTAACCAGAATGGTGGCTCCATGGAGTAAGAGGGCCTTGCCTTTTGTTCCCAAGCACAGTGCCCGGAGTACCGGGGCGTCAGTCATTGTGTCTTGGATGAACAGATTTCAACCCTTTCTTCTTTCAGGGCCCTCGCAGATGTCATGAGGCCCCAGGGCCACTGCAACACTGACCATATGGAGAGAGACCTCAACATCGTGGTCCATGTGCAGCATTATGAGAACATGGATACCAGAACCCCCGTAAATAATCTTCGTAAGTAGAGCTGCGCGATCCATTTCCAGTCCCACATGGCGGGCCGGGCGGTGGTCACACCTCCAGATATCATGCTGTGTGTTTGGGTTCATGAAGACTGTCTCTTTGTTGACTAGAGAAGTTTTATTTCATCTTCCCTAGATGAAGCTGTGTTTGGCATCATCAGAGCTCACATGGTTTGTTTCTCTGTGAAAGAGGGACCCACTTGGTTGGTTTCTCAGGGCTGGGTCTTCTGTTAGCTAATAGATCTCTTGGTTGCTTCACCTAGGTTATATTAACTAATGGCCCTCTTGGTGGGTTCATCATGGCTGGGGACTTAGTTAACCAATTGATTGCTTGGTTGGTTCATCTTAGATAGTTAATCTGTTAACCAATCACCCACTGGGTTGGTTCATCTTGGTAGGGTAATCGGTTAACCAATGGTCCATTTGTTTATTTGTCTGCCTCCTGAGGTAGACCAGTTGTGACTTTTAGGTTACATACTATTTTCAATGAACAGATACTAGTTCAGAAGAATTACATCTATTTTTCATAAAACTAGAGTTGCATAAAAATAATCCACAAACTTTTGTGTGTGTGTGTGTGTGTGTGTGTGTGTGTGTGTGTGTGTAGGAGAGCCTTTGTGTGTGGGGTGAGTTCTGGTTATGTTGTTTTGAGCTGCCTATACTGTGACTCAACAGCAAAAAGAGCTGTGTTTCTTATTGTGTTTCAATAGGTGTTCTTTAGCGGATGGAGCATGCTTGAGGATCTTGGTATGCTCCCAAAGATTTTCTTTCCTTTCAAAGGTCTGTGTACACAACACACATTATGGGTCCTACGTACTGACTAATGGGAGTGGGGAAAAACAAGACTGTTTAGTTTTTGACAATAGTATACTACTGTGGTTATTCCCAGCAATTATGTTTTCAAGTAACCCCCACATTACAGTAATGCGGAGGGTTTGGTTTAAAATAACAAAAGCCAGACAGTTTAAAGGATGCATTTAGTTGTGGCTGGAGGTTCTTGAAAACAGAAGCAGTGCTGGCATTGCACGTTTTATAGTATGGGTCGCCTTGGCTGAAGCTCCACCAGGAGTTGAATTGGAGTTGTATTTGCTGAATCATAATTTTGAACTGTTTGGTTGCAAATTTTTACGCCCCATGGGTAGCGGAATAAGTCTGGAATTTGACACCGGTGACGTGAATTCTCTGATTCTTCACGGTGGCCGTTTTTCATGGCCTTGGAAATGTTGCAGTAAAGTTCCAGAAGTCGGTGTTCCCACGGTTGGAAAATGGGTACCAAATCGAAATCTTAGGTTCCATTGGATTAAGTAAGTCAACATTATGTATTTATGAACCAGGTCCTAAAAAGGGCATGAGAAATGGCCACACTTGAGAGCAAAATATACCAGCAATCGGAAGTTTTACGGCCAGATCTCACAGCCCTGAAAGATATGGTGTATTACACCAGCTCTGACACGGCAACTGCTGTGTGCCATTCCAGCGTTGATGGAAATGAGCATTATTCCCTTTTAGATGGATGGCGCCGGGAAGTAAGTTGAACTTAGGTGTAGGTGGGTTCTAACCATCCTGAGTGAGGACGGAGTAGACAAAGGTGACATGGTGGAGTCCCTGGCTATAAAACATGACTGTTAACAAGGTTCTCATTTGAAGTGTCGATATTTAGGATGATTTTTGAATCAGCACTCAAATGGCATAAACAAGCTCACTGAAGTCCCCCACGCATTATCATTCCATCAGGCAAAGGGCAGGCCACATTAAGGAATCTTGCTTTGCTAAGGGACTTTTGTTGAAAGTTGTACTGAAAATAAGTAGACTGCTTTAGAGGTGGATGTCTAGGCACCACGTAGTTCAGAAGCCTCTTGTGGCAGACTCACTTGGTTTATTTATGATCCTTGCTTTTTCTCTGTATTTGTGTCTCAGTGGTCATTGATCTTTTATACCAAGAAAAAAAAAGTGTCTTATAATATTCTACTGGGTGGAATGAAACAAGGGCGTTCCTGGGGAGCTGCAAAGGAGAACTGGTGTGATGTCACAAACATTGCATTCTCACAAGAATCACCACAGATGTTAATATCACATAATCCTGCTAGGTTGATCTCATCCTTATTTCCTGGAATTTTGGGGGATATCTGGGAGATAAGCATATAGCTTTTTCAAAGATTTACATGAAAAAGCTTAATTTATATAACTCATCCAGTAGTTGGTAGTAATGATAGGTGTCCTTATAATGATTTTTTTTATTGATTGACAGGAGCTATTTATATATTATAGACAGGGAAAAAGTGACATGTTCAGAAGAAGGAATGCTTTTCAGAGTTCATTGAGAGGATAGGGCTAGATGACTGATATTTATCAATTATTCGGGATTCAAGAAGCCAGGCAGTCACCAGAGCTCACTTTGACCAACAGAGGACTAGGAGAGAAGGAACTCAGTTTGATAATTGGAAAGTGAGACTAGCCCTTGGTGCCAGAAGTAGAATGAACTTATCGAATATAAAAACCTCTTCTGGACATTATAGGAGCTAGAAAGATTTACTATTACAAAAAATGGAAAGAAAGATGTGTCTACTTGTAATATACAAAGAGGGGCATGTCATGCCATTTTTAGGGTGTTCACTAAACATCCAAGTTACTGGATTTGATTGGGAACTCAATAGTCCCAACTTAAATATTTTCATCTCTATTCAATGACCTACTCGACATTCCTTTAAGATGATACGTTATCATTTCTGTCTATTTCTCTCTGCTCATCGTTTTTCTTTTCTTTTTTTTAGATTTTATTGGGGAACTGGGGAGAGGAACAGTGTTGGGGAATTGGGGAAGGGAAACATTGTGTTTTCCCAGGACCCATCAGCTCCAAGTCAAGTTGTTGTCCTTCAGTCTTAGCTGTGGAGGGCGCAGCTCAGCTCCAAGTCCAGTCGCCGCTTTCAATCTAGTTGCAGGGGGTGTATGTAGTCCACCACCCCACGCGGGAGTCGAACCAGCAATCTTGTTGCATGCTGAGCCGTCTTGCTACTCATTTGCAGCTCACGGCTGCTCAACTTCAGGTGCTGTGTTCAATCTTAGCTGCGGGACGCAGAGAGGGGGGAATGCACAGCCCACTATCCCATGTGGGTGTTGAACCCGCAATCTTGCTGCTAAGAGCATACGCTCTCACCAGCTCAGCAGCAGCTCAGCTTGGGCGTGGCTTACTGGCCCATGTGGGAATCGAACCTGAGACCCTGTTGCTCGGAGCTTGCGCTCTTAACCAACTGCGCCACTTGGCCGGCCCTCTCCTCATCTTCTTGATACTAATGCTAGATCATTTTCTGATCTTGCCCTTATGCTTGGGTCAAATGCTAAGAGAATCAAAAGTCAGTGTTGCAATTGGATATTTAGCAAGAGGGGAGTGGAGAAGGTCAAGGGTGGAGTCATATAGGGAGGAGAAAGTTTCAATATGGGGACGTTTTGACCAACATTTCTGTATAAATTTCCTGTGGTTAATTTTTCCTGCGATAGGCAGGACTTGCCTCTATCTAAAGATGGATTTTTCTTCTACTGAGGCTGCTCATGTTCCTTCCAGGCATTCAGTGATATTGCCTAAAAATATTTAGTCTGATAATCAAAAGGGCTTTGACCTCTTTGATTAACAGGATGTCGATTCAGATGAGATAGTGATTTTCTGCAAATGCTCTTGGGCGTCTGTGTAATTAGAGTTTGCTTTTGAAGGCACATTTTGTCCTCAAGTGTTATGAACGTACTTTGTCTCCCCAACCCCAGCCTCGCTGCCTGGCACCGCTTTTGGGAGTGCAGCGTAAATATAGGCTCCCTTCTTAAGGATGGGAGATGTGAGTGAGGGGCTGTGGATACGAGGCTACAACCCGGGTCAACGTTTCTCAACTCGTTTGTATTAACAATATACCTTTTTTTCTTTTGAAATAAAATTTGAATTTCAGAATAATTTTATATTTACAGAAAAATTACAAAGAGAGCACACATAGTTCTGTATACGCCTCACCCACTTTCCCCTAATGTTAAAATCTTACATTACTATGGTACACTTGTCAAAACAAAGAAATGAACATTAGTACATTATTTTCGGCTGAACTGGAGATAGCATTTGAATTTCACCAGTTTCTTCGCTAAGGTCTTTTTGCTGTTCCAGGAGCCAGTGCAGAATACTACCTTCTATGGAGTACAGCAACCTTGGTGGTGGGGTTTTGGTTGCGTGGCATTGTTTAATGATGTGGTAAAGACTAGAAACAATATTAAATAACTCAGCAGCAATGACAAAGCCTTTATTGCCATGGTATGAAAAGTAGCTCCCAGTGCCTGCAAAAGCATGCACATAAAATTATGCACTGGGTCAGTGTTGGAATGGAACCAGTTGCCATCCTGACGATGCTCTCACATCGACTCACGGGGCCCAAGTACCTTCCGTTTCCATACAAACATGCGACCCCGCTTTGAAATTGGGTTGACGTTACACTGTTGATTTCACAGCATAATCTGAGCAAGTGAGATCTCACCTCAACCTGAGGAGGAATGCTGACTTCCTATTTCAGGACACAGAATCCGTCTGCAAGACCAGGCCCCGAATCCAGCCCTCATCTCACCCCGACGCCCCCAGGATCTTTCCCGAGTGGATTAACAAGGAGCCAGATGAAAAGCAGATTCATTGTTTAGTTTCCAAAGATGTTGTACAGTTCATATCTAGGGCCAGATGGATTTTCATTCTTTTTTTTTAAAGAAATTTTATTGGGGAACAGTGTGTTTTTCTGGGACCCATCAGCTCCAAGTCAAGTAATTGTCTTCAATCTAGTTGTGGAGGGCACAGCTCCTTGGCCCATGTGGGGATCGAACTGGCAACCTTGGTGTTATGAGCCTGTGCTCTCTCTAAGCACCTGAGCAACCGGCCGCCTTCCATTCATTTTTCTGTATTTCCCAAAGCGCCTGGAAGTCCTATACTTGACTTTTGGAGATTCTGGTAGGGATATTCTCAAATTTTTTTTTTAAATG